AAATTAAACTTAAACGGAATTAAGTTTGTTTTTTATTTCGATAAGGATTTTTTTAATTTACAATAATGACGTGGAAAAAATCTACTAAGAAAAATCAATTGAATGTTAAAATACATTTTGTATTGACGATATAAATAACACACAATAATGATTAATTATTGACAGAGTAAGAAAGAGACAATTAATTTTACTACTACATATAAATATCTCTTCATATAGTTTCTGATAACTCAGTTGATTCTTGGAGAACAGAATTCATTAGATAAAAATCTTGAGATAATCAAAACACACAATTTTTCTCATTTTTTATATCTTGAGTGTGGATGCGAATGAAGAGAACAACATTTCTAGTCGAAAAACCAAAAGTGACTGTTAGATTCACTGTAACATTTCCTTGAACACTTCACAAGACAATGCTACCATTTTCTTGACGACAATAATGAAATCGTTAAATAGGTATCGCTTATTTCTTGATCGAATTGTTCATCGAAAAGATAAAATATAAATTGAACACGTTTTCCCATTGCTCTAGCCGTGCTACATTACCCATCTACTTCTTCCGATCTCAATAAATGAAGATATCAACTCTTCTTCGACTTTCATCTCGACCATGACAGCTATTCATCTCTTCACTCTTCCCTTCAATATAATACTGACCGTTGCTAATCATCCTCCTCTGATTCTGTCGTCAGCTTTCAGTGAGCAAAATGATGAAAAGGAATCTCGTCGAATGGAGTACGCATTTTTTTTTACACTCTTGAATTCTACTGACGTCAAGCATTCAATCGATGAATTTTTGCATCGATTTCAGAGATAAGACAAGTACAAGTACCAGAAGTAAAACTATTATAATTGTACTTTGGGATGAACATTTTTGTACTTATATTCAAGTATGATAAACAGAAGTTGGCACCTTTTACTAGAGATATAGATAAGATAAATTTCATCAATAAGGTTGATTACTTCTGATCCGTTTTTAAAGACCATCGTAATATCTTCTGATGATCAAAACATGACAATAGAAATATTCTATTGAAATTTTTTATGCTAATACGCTAATATGTTTACTGTATGTCTCTTGTAAAAACTATCTATCTTCATCGTTCGAATTTCGTTAAAATTATGATAGGTCTTCTGAAAGTGATGATACTAATTTTACTTAGTGTCATGACTAAATATAGCTCTGCATGACATTAAATAAAATCTGTTTGAATTCAGATCCATGTTTTATAGCCCAGCACAGATTACTATTTCGTTTGCGTTTTTGAATCACCCGTAGAATTTCACAACGTATTGAATAGAAGAGTTTCAACATGAAATTTCGATCAAAGATTTCGTGAATATATCTTAGACCTTCGTGAAAGTTAAGATTAGAATGAGTATTGCTTTCCAATAATTTTATACTTGAAATAAGCACAATTTATTAGATCTTTTTTGAGATATGACTAAAATGATATCAATCACACGAAAAGACATTGTTTCGTGTTCCAAATAAAAAGTGCAAAATCCTATCTCTCGTACTACTTAGGTATAAGTGAAAAAGTATTCATCTTGATTTACAAGTATTCATTATGAATACTTGTACTTTTACTTTGTACTTGAAAAAGTACGAAAAGTCTACGTACAAATACTTTCGTCCTTGCTTTGATTGAATCGAAATATTACTTATTTCCAGCCCATGAAGCCTATAGCTGATATATTGATGTTATCATCGAAACTTTTGGAAGTATTAGAAATGCATAAAATTAGTTTTTTTCACCACTGTATATCTCTCGCATACACCATGCTACCTCATTTCTCTAATTCGAATGAAATATTCTCTTACTCAATATCGACGATAGCTCGTCTCGTTTTTCACCATATGCCGATGCATAATCTCACCCATATATATATTTATTCTCGCATAAATTCCGAATGCGAATCCCATGACTTCTATTCAGTTTCATCTCAATTTATCCGACTCTCATTGTTTATCCGTCATATAATAATCAACAAAAATTACAACAAATAATTAACTTTGTAGCCGATCATACAACAATATTAATGAGACCCGGAATCTACACAGAATGGTTTACCATTGAAAAGAAATTTGTTTCTTTAATTGGTCAAAAATTAGGTCAAGTTGTGGTGTTTCGACCGTTGTTAAACAGCATCGCTATATTATATTGAAATGGTGGTGGTGGTGGTGGTCAAGTCAAAGGTATATTTTTTACGGGATAAAATACAACTGGTATTGATGACTGTAGTAACGATCAAGAAGAATCTCCTGATAAGAGCGAAATTTTCAACTGTACCTTTAGAGATATTGGGAATGGTGCGACCAATCGATTTACTAAGATTCCCATTATTGGAGTTCTTGTTAATCGATTACAGCGGTTTTCTATTGATTTTCAGGATCTTCTTGAAGATCTAGATACAACCGTTCACGATATTTTTATTATAGACAGTGAAAATGGACTTATCCTATGTGAAGCAAAGAGTACTTTTGTTTTCTGGAACATCGCCTATCGCAGTAATGAAAACAGTGGTCTCATTATGTTTGATACACCTAGTGGTACACTAACAATAGTCGAAAGCACATTTAACAATAATCGAATTGTCAATATTCATATGTCCGATTCATATGCTGTTATTTGTCGTGATAGTTTAATTACAAATGCATGTCGCAAGTCAGATGGTACGTATGGCGATGAGTTTGAAGCAATGAAGCAGAACGTACCGATTGAGCGAGGTACGGGCATGGGCAGGGCAGAGTGTGGATGTAGAGAAAATTGATACTCCAATTGACACCCATACCCTATTTATCAAAAGAGCTTGATAAACGGCGTTTTGCTAATGGTTAAACAGTACTACAAAGAGAGATAAGTTTAACAAATTGTTTCGAAATTGACATCATGATAAACAATTTTGATATGGTAATTCATTTTTAAGGATAAAATATGATAGTTGATTCATAAATAATATCAATATTAATACGATCTTTCAATTCAATAAGTTTTCCATCATCAGTTTCTGTTAAATAGCAATCCAGAATTCAATCATAATGTAATGCATGTATATTGTTGTCATTGTTTTGTTGTTGCACACTTAGATAAATTACATACAAGAATTGATAGGTATTTTAATGACGCAGATGAAGGCTTGTGAAAGCAAAAGAAAACAATGAATAATATGTATAAAACCAGTAAATATAGATAATCGATTCATACAATAAGATAATGATATATAAAGCAAATAGTTATTATGTAGATTTTCGCAGCTTTCTCGTCTTACGTATCGAAAGTTCTCATTTTGTATCGTGATGATCTCGATACCAAATAGATACCATTTGTTTTTTTTTTCAGTCTTCTCAAGGACGTTCTTTTGAGTTACAAGCAGTGCCTCTTGTAGAAATGGATTATTTGAGATCTAAACTAAAATACATGAAAATACTGCATTCAGGATGTAGACAAAAAAAACTTGCGTTTTGATTTATTAATGAATTATTAATGCTCAAATTATAGTTCAAGATAATGAAAAATTCGAGGAAAATAACTTTCTAATTTTCATTCACTAAGAACCTCATTGAAAAAAATTGAAGAAAGATAACGTTTGATGATTGTAACAAAAAACTGATTGAGAATAATCTTAAACGATTTCACAAACAATGAAATATAGTGAAGAATAAATACATTATATTTAAACGAAGTTTTTCTCTATTGCCAAATTCATATATATGCACGTATCTCAGTTAGATAGTGTACTTGTTTTTCTTAATAAAATTTTGTTTTTATTCGTCACTTACGAATAATTGATCATCATATTCTTATGTTTTATATTGCTGAAATTACATGAGAATATGTGGGTGTAGATCGTTCCTTCATTAATTCACAACCTCATTAGTTTTCCATGAGTAAGATCTCTGAAAAATCAAAACTTAAACTTTTTGACTCCTGTCGAATCTCCACAATAGAATTCTTCTTAAATTATTCAGGATGATAGAACGAACAATTGCGTACAAAATGTAATAACTTCTTGCTAACTCTTTACGCCGTTTTTTAACCGAAATGTACGAATCCTACAGAAAGCGGCAAAGTAGTGTTTCTGTTATTTCGTGTGGAAACATCATTTTTGTGTTTTATGTAGATTTCATGTTTCTCGGTTCAAGAAAACCTCGTAGAGAGTTAGAAGTTATTTCATTTTGTAGGCAACTCATTAATTTATCATTTTAAGTAAATCAAGCAGAATTCTATCTACGAATCCTAGAAGCTGAAAAACTTGATTTTTTAAAGATCTCATCGTTAGAATCGTTATTTGATATCATGAGTAAATGTTTCGGTATCCGAAAATATCTTGATATCAATTCATCTTAATTGCAACACCATTTGTCATGTCAATGTTTAATTAGTTCAATCCAATTGATGACATTAAAAAAAAAATATTTATTTTTTCAACAACACAAAGCATTAAAATCAAATGAAAAAGTAATTCATATGAATTCTTATTCTATATTTTGAACTGTTTTTCTCATATTCATTAGGATTTCTTTTTCAATTTCATAAACAAATAGACAATGATCTGATATTTCTTGGTGTGTTGCTAATGCAATCAATAATCATGATTTTATCTTGATTATCAGTGCTAATTGTAATTGTAGACTTCTAATTTCAGCTGTTACTTGCTGAATTTGGTGTTAGATTTTATTTTTGACTAGAACGTAAAAGTACAATAATCTTGCCATTCATTATGAGTCCTCCGTTACTTTATAAATGAATATTCTAAAACCTGATTGATATGTTAAACTAGATACTTCAAATTTAGATTTACTATTCTCTTTTCTTAACTGTAATTTGCCTAACAAATAATTTACTATGAGCAACGCATATTAATATTCACTTCAGTTTTCACACATTATATTTAGATAAATCATGATAAATTTCTGTATAAATAAATAACTTGAATTTGACAGAATAATCACAGAGAATAATGAATCTTCTTTTTCTTCTGCATCAATGTATATTGTTAACAGTAATGGGTCGACCGAAGAAGGGATGTTACACGTTCCCCTCGCAATCAAGAAAACTTTCTGTCTTTTTCCCCAGCGGAGTCAAACATTTTTTATGCGCTCTCTTAGAAAAACAATCTTTACATTCCCGCCCCCTCAATGGTGATTGTCTCGAGTCAGTCCTGATTGTCAACTGCTGAAATTTTATTCATTGACTATTTAATCTATGAAAGAGAAATCCAAGAATGAAAATCAAATAAAACTTTTTATTTAGAATATGAATAAAAAGCAAAAAAATAATAAAACAAAAATATGGAACAAAAATTATCATTGATCTGAATTTGATTTCTCAGTTTTATTATTATTATCATTAAGATCGGAATCAATGCTAAATGGTACTTGTAAGCCATCACGTTCACCTAATAACCAATAAGTTGACATTTCACCTTTACCCTAAAATAAAATTAAACAAAAATAAAACGATAAAATTCAAAAATATAAAAAATTTTACCTTAAGGTTAACTTGTCCACGTGCTTTGACAATAAATGTTTGAAATTTATCAAGTAGTGCTTTTGTACAAGGTGATGTATGAATTCTTAATGGTTGCCCATTAGATTCCATACGTGAAGCAACATTAACAGTATCACCAAATAGACAATATCTATAGGTGTATATACAAATCAAATATATGCATTAATATTTTTATTTTCTTTGAAAAACTCGTTTACCTTGGCATTTTTAAACCAACAACACCAGCAACACATGGACCTGAACAAAATAAATTCTTAAAAACAAAATTTCTAAAAAAAATAAATTCTACCTGAATGAATACCAATTCGAATTTTTAATTGTTCATCAGGTCTATGTCGAATACGAAAATGAATAACAGCATCAAGAATTGTTAATGCCATACGTGATATTTCACGTGCATGTAAATCACCATTACGTGTTGGCAAACCACTAACAACCATATAAGCATCACCTATTGTTTCAACTTTATAAACATCAAATGCTTCAATAATTGAATCAAAACATGTATAAAGATCATTAAGTAAAGAAACAATCTATTTAGAAAAAATAAATAAGAAGTTTATTTCTAGAATTTAGATAAATAGAACAAAATTTTTTACTTGTAATGGTGTACTTTCAGCTGATATTCTTGTAAAACCAACAATATCAGAAAAATAAATAGTTACACACTCAAATGATTCAGCTGTTACTTGTTTGCCAGCCATTAATTCAGCAGTGACAGATCTTTATATAATGAAAAGAAGAAAACAAAAAAAAAAAAAAATTGATTTCTCTTTATTTGATATTATTCTTTTTAGATAAACTTAAATTGAATTATATCGACGCGTATTTTTTTTTTATTTTCAGTTCTTTATTCATAATCAATATTAATAAATTAGACAACAACAATACCATTAAAAGTATCTTTTTATCTCATCAACTTTAATTAACACTTCCTTTTAGCATCATTCGTCATGAGAAAAATATATTTTTCTTCTTCATCTTCTTATTATACCTCCTAAATTAATCATGTAAAGAAATTCATTAAGTGAAAAGCATTATGCTAAAACTTTCCATTTTAGAATAAGAAAATGTTCATATTGTCTTCTATTTTAACACAGTAAGATTTCATCTCCATCCATCTCGATGGCACGTCATTCCGCCATACATTCTGTTACTCATACGTGCGCAATATAATTATGAAGGCTTGATTCTTTCGTGACTGGGGAAATTGTCTCTAATAAAAAAAAAAAGAATAACACATCATAGGAAATGATGTGACATGAAACTATAGTCTATCAATAATTATATACATCCTATAGAGAGAGAGCGAGAGCACTTAATGATCTCTTCCGTGAATAATTCTCAAAACATATCTACACCTTTATCGGATCAGAACTATTAAAAGCATAAAACCCAATTTTCTGATTTTTCAACTTGAACAAATTTAAAACTCTAATTTTGTTAAATCTTATACTAAGGAAAATTTTATTCAACCTAAAATAACATTATCTATACGATTTAATAAATAACCAGTGATGCGTAACTGTCTAAATGAAAGACTTGTTCATTTTTAACCAATTTGAAAGTATTCTAGACAAATGAAATATTATGTGTGAAGACGACAAATTTAGTACTCTTTCTGAATATGAGCTCAGAAATTTTCTGTCGATATTTTCACAAGTGTAATGAAAGACCTGAAAATTCTTTTGGACGGAGTAAAGTATCAAAACTCTTGTTTTCCTATCATCTTCATTTTTGAAAAGCCGTCTTTTTGATGAAAGAACACTTGGAATGTTATCTGAGTAAAAGCGACAGCTTAGTTCAATATCACAATTTGTAAACAACAAAATTATCAAGTTCAATGGTTTCTAGCAACGGAACAAAAGGACTTGACAAGATTCCTTCATTATTCTCGATCAAAAATAGATCGAAAATTTCTGCGTCCAGATTTGACAAGAGTACGAATTTCTGGTCGTAATCCATAGCGTTTCATCCGTTTTTAAATAATTTCCACCAGGTCAATAATGAACAAACCTTTGATATAGAAAATTTCTCAACATTTGTCAATAAGAATTAATAAAACTCGAATTAATATTCTTCGAATTTATCTATTTGCAGGTTTATTTTGAAGTGCAAACTTACTGTGGTAATAAACGATAAAGTAATTCTTCAGCTTTTTTCTTCTCTAACAAATAATCATTTGTACGTTCTTTAACAAGATCTTCAAGATTATTTGTATATTGTTCCATACGTTGTAATAAATTATCAACAAGATTT